GAGCTAGAGAGGGTCGGGGTAAGAGTCCGGCAAATAGTGCGAGAGACAAAGAGCAACGGATCGAGAACGTAGCAGAACGAATCGGAGCTGTGAAATCGAAATCCCTTCACCAATTAATAAATTGGGAGACTCACCGGAGCTGGTGCAGCTAATCCGTGGACACTGCTCTACGACACAGCACTACACCTCCGGAACACTCACAGGAATTCATAGAATTGCCTGGATATCGCGAGAATAACGCGAGAACTATACGAATCGAGAACTTGCTATAACGTAGCGAAACACGGCAAGAAAAACTATCAACAGATAACACGGAAGCACGAGTCGGCCCGTGACACCTCGGTCGGTGCCCCGAGACAGACTGCTTTGACAATAGTCAAACTGCAATAGCCAAATGCCAAATCCGAGAACTAATCATTCTGATTGGTCGAGAGCCTTATACCCGATAACTCTTCTATCTCCTTCGAGTCGTCCCTTTAAACCAAATCGAGAGCGTTCCTTAGCGAATCGGTACGTATCTCCTGGAGATCCTCCACGGCCGCTTCCCCAGGGCATCGGGCGACAGCTGGGCACCACATCCTTAACTCGGGCAGGAGGTTCCTCTCCTGCCCTTAACCATATCAAAACTTCCTCCGCCCGCTCTACAGCCCTTTGCCCATCTCCAGCGGGGCGCCGGTATCTCACCCGGGCTTCTGCCGGTCCGTGGAGACGTCTCCGTCGGGTACTCTCCTCTGCCGGGCAACTCGGTACGTCGAGACTATATCCCCACGGCAGATTCGGGCACCTCGACCTTAACTAAACACTGACACAATCTTACGAGAGCCTTGACATAACTGTACGAATCAACCCGAGAGCGTAGCTTCTGAGCAGGGTGGCGACCCGAAGAGAACCAGAAATCGAGAACGTTATCTATATCGGTAACCGGAGCCGCCTTGGGACCGTGATTCGAAAAATCACGTCACACTTGATAAGGAAGAAAAGTTAAGTTCATAGAGAAATTGGCGACGAACGGTACTGGCAGTGGCGGTCAGTCGTTTATTCGATCATTATAAACCAATTTTTCAAATACCGACCGAGATACACGGATAAAATTAAATTTTATCATTCTGAAGGAAAAGGAAACGCGATTATCATTATCTTTGTGTCTGCTTTGTGTTATCTTGAAAAATTTATTTTCTCCTAAGACAAGTACCGAGATATGTCAATTAAGTGTTTGAAATAAAATTTCAAAAAAAAATGAGTAATGTGACTTTTTGAATTTTCATTAGTTTAATGACATTTTTTAATCTTTGCGTGTGATTTTGAGCAAAGTGTCGAAGTTTAAGGGCAAAAATACATTTTGTATATTTAAAACCAGTCAAAGTAATTGTTTCGTACTGTTCGTGAATCCCAGCAGAAGAATGTCTAATGTTTTGCACACGTGACGTTTTGCACATATGTACGCTTGGATGATAACTTAGTCATTGAATTTACATTTGATGTCAATTCACTCTTTAAACGAGCCTTTCTCACATTTTTTTTATTACATTCGAAAAACAGCTTGACCTTACGACTTATTTTCCTCTGTGTAAAATCTTCTCTTAAAATATTCACAGCATCTTAGACTTCAGAGCTGGCATAGAATTTTCATGTAAAATCGCTGATAAAAATTGTTAAGTATCATACATATCTCCCGACAGTCTCTTTGATCTCGATCAATTACTTCATATCTCAAGTCAATCAAGTCCGTGTATTGACTTTCGTCTCCCTGAAGTCTCGTTACGCGGTACTATATTGAAAATTAAAAATATTCAAGTATCTCCGCTACTCCGATATCTTCACTTATCATCACTCATCCATAAGCTACGAAGGAATGCCTTGTAATTTTGGAAACTGAACAACTAACGAAAGAGGTCGAGTACCAATAATTATGCCTCGACACGAACAGTTGCTTTACGAAAGACATAAACAAAGAAGGAGCAAAAACATTTCGTTGATCCACGTTCTTGAAATATATTGCATCGGTCGAACGCTGTTATTATTATTATTCATCCGTTATCCCTACATCGCACGGGGGAGCGTCCGATCTAATTATCCAGATGTCATTAACATTGACGCCAAGCAAACACTTCGCTATAAACATTCAGTCTGCGTTGTGCGCATCAGAGTGCTCATCGTCCGTTTCGCAACGTGTTTCGATTCCATTATCGAGAAACGATTAATCGGTTGTTTCTAAAGGATAATACCTAGCACGTTAAAATGCACGCCTACCTTCCCAATAATTGTTATCGATCCCCGTGACCGAGTCTTGCGTACATTTTTCACGAGTTCGAAAACATTCCGTTCCTCGAAAGTCCGGCGTACATTTCGTTCCACCTTCGACCCGTCATACATTTCGGCTTCGATCGCAGAGTCCCTGCGGTTCGGCCACTCGATAGTTTCGGAATAACGCCTCGAAGTATTTTTGGCCTCCGAGAAAGACAAAATTACGAACTTTCCTACGGAGACTCTTCGTCCCTCGATGTAGCCATTGCTCCTTTTTCTTTATTTCCATCCTCTTCCGATCCTCCTAACCCTCTTTCTCTTTCCTTCTCACTCCTCGGTTCCTGTAGCAACCTCGGGGTTGCCGAGTTCAGGAGGGTTTTGCTGAGGTCTCAGCGCCAGGGGCGTGGGG